TTTCAATCCCATAAAAATAAGCTTTCTCCTGATAATTATGACCTTAAGTACTTACTGTAAGGTTGTGGCGATCAGATATCAATCGTTTTCATGGTTTCTAGTAGTCTATATGGTCACTTAATTATTAAATTAAATTCGTTACTTTTCTTTTTATTACTAGACACCAAGTACTACGTTTTAACTTCTAATCTTTTGCCGTCTTCAAAGTAGTAGTGACAAGGACTGTGTTTGTAGCGGCAGTGGTCTGGATTCGAACCCGGGTCTTCATGATAGAAATGCTGTTAGACTAAACGTAAAACTAAAGATGTTTGAATATAAAAAAGTAATAAGGTTTTGATAGATTTATCTTGAAATCTGAGATTTTGGGAGGTAAATTCATCCCTAAAATTATTATTTTTTAACTATTGAACGTATCTGAAGTTTAATAATATTATTGATGTATTTCTAAGGCTAACTAACTTTGTGAATATAATGACGTGGGATCCATGTTATTTTGTTTTCTGTTAAAACGTTTGTTTTAGCTCAAAGCAACACAATAAGTTACCTGAACCCTGCCCACTTTAAGAAATCAAACCACGAATTTAATTGTTGAAAGTCCATAAACATACCGCTGACCCCCGCTGGGTGGCCTGTTATAACGTCTAGAATAACATCTTATAAAACAGCTATCAATAATTTTGAACTAATGGACTAAAGGGAAAGCAACCAGTCAACAGGAAGACTAACCGGTCAACATTAACCATTGCCAATTCTTAATTGAGTAATTTGTGAAACTTAACCATCACTCTTATATGCAACATCCATGGCTCCAAAGTTTAAAGGGTGATTTTATAACAATGGCACACAAACCATGGACCAACAGTTTGGGCATCCTAACCACTAAGTCACACCCAGCCCCCATTATGTTGGTTGGAATAATGTGATATGCTAATATTTTAAGTACGTCATATTACACCAATCTTGAATAAGTAAATAAGCAAGTCATGAGACAACCACAGCCAATATAAAATTATAGTGGAATGGCATGTATCAGAACTACATTTTAACAGTGCTTGTCATTTTGTAGGTAGTGTAATGCTATCGAAAATTGGTCACTTTTAGGGAGGCTAATGAGATTGAGGATTTTAAGTTTTCAGGATAGGGATATCCCTTGTAATCTATGGAAAACAAAGGAATGTGGATAATCTTGGGGTACCAAGACCATTGAGAAAAAAACCCTGCAATTCAGTCATTGTAAGCAACGTGTAACAGTACATAACATAATCAAGAAATGAGGCCAATGGGGATATAGGTTCACTAAGATAAGGCTTCTAGTCATATCTGTTATTCAACTGTGACATACCCTGAGCAGACAGAGAATGAAATAGGCTTTCATGCTATTCCATTAGATGACATACTGGTCAAGTTGCCAGATGTAGAATCTGTAAATTTCTGCACAATCAGATTGGGAAAATCTTGTCTTCATACACTACATGGTTTATGGAAAGCCTATAAGGAGGAGTGGTATGCTTTGGATATAAAAGCCTTCTACAGTGGAAGCTAGTCTGTATGGCTACTGTCAAGATGCACAGTTTCCAGATAGAGCATGACCGAATGAAGAGACACGGTGAGGCTGAATAATTATTTTGATATACTCAAACCTCTGTCCACTTCCATTCATAGCCTGACCCCCCCCCCCACATATATAAGAAGTAATCTTGCCATTTCACATCAGTAGAAAAAGATATTATATTTTAATACTACTCAAAACTTTTCGAATAAACAAAATTTATGTAAAATCTATATATTCAAACTGATGTATTTACGTGTTTTACGCTCACTAAAAAGAAACCTATCATTCTATAGGTATTCGAAGAACTTGTAGCATTCCGCCAGGGTCACTGGTGAGGAGTGGAATTCTCCGAAACTAGTCTGGCTCACAGACACACACACACCCCAATGAAAGAATAGCTTTTACTTGTTGTTAAACAAATGTTTAAAGAACTCTACTTATTCAGTCTATATATTCTTTTATTTTCATACACGATACTTAAAAAAAAAAATGTTACAATTATTTTTTCAACAATCCACCGCACACACACATGGCATACTTTTTAAGATTTAGATAATTTATATAAACATGTGACGTGGAAGAATTTTAACAGTTTTGTTTAAAACTAAATTACAGCAAACATTTATCATGTCCAAACTTATTAGGAGTCAAAGAAACTTGACTGTATTACAAAAAATATTCCCGAAACTTCCAAGTTGAACGTACACTTACTTTTACAGGAGAGACTTGTACAGTTCAGACGAAGAGCGATGATAAGAGAGACTTGTACAGTTCAGACGAAGAGCGATGATAAGAGAGACTTGTACAGTTCAGACGAAGAGCAATGATAAGAGAGACTTGTACAGTTCAGACGAAGAATGATGATAAGAGAGACTTGTACAGTTCAGACGAAGAACGATGATAAGAGAGACTTGTACAGTTCAGACGAAGAATGATGATGATGCATGTTTTTATAACAAGCCTTGCAGTCCATTTTTTAAAAAAATATAAGTTTTAAAGGTTACCTACTCCTTTGGCAAACAACCAATTATTTTCTTAATTTGAACTACTCATAAAATTAGGTTTCTTATGCTTCCAAAGAATATTTACAAATTTGTTTAACGTTACAATGCATAACCATATCTTTTTACCCAAGTTCCTACTTTTAACATATTATTTATAAAAATGTAAAAATACAAACACGAGTTGGAAAAAAAAAGTTTTATAGATAATCTTTACAAAAAGAACACGGCCAATTTTGCAATATAGGCTTTAATAAGTTTTTAGGAGGTCTGTAATAATTTTTTTTGGGGGGGGGGTTTGATTTAAATGAAAACAAGTGAAAGAAATACAGAAAAGGGTGAAGAAAATGTACTTAAAAAGGTCAACCTACGACCCCCGAGGGTCATAATATAGTATCATGCAGGCCAAAAACAGCTAACTGGATTTACCGCTATAACACTACAAGGGAACAAGTGTGAGGACAACAACAACAAAATAACGTACGTTAAAGTTACTCCATTTCTTTGGGGTTCATTTGGTGGTAAGAGCTTAAGCTGAAAAAGTCTGGGAATCCCTGAATTTTATGAGAACAGAATATTTTTCTCTCTACTGTGTTTTTTCCATGTTCCCGAGACTTGTACCTATTGTCTTGGCTCGCATACCTGCCTGAAAACAAAATTCTTGGAAATAAATACCTTTGAAATTAAACTCTGGGACTTGCAAGGTGAAATTCCTTTTTCAAAGCAGTTTAGGTTACCTAAGTTCACTTAAGAATTGTTAAATTCAATGAAGGTAAAAAAAAAAAAAGACTAAAAAAAACATGAAAAGGTAACAACAGTGACGGTTTCCAACTTCTAGACGTTGAAAAACTTTTGTTAATAACATGTTCACTAATTATAAACCCATAAACTACCATTTACTTCACGGTTTACTTGCAGGTCTAGTTAAGGTGATTAATTGAACTCGTCGTGGGGGTTTCTCCCCTTGTTGTCGTGTTTGGGATGACTGGGGATCAGAAGAAACACTTTCAGATGCCCTGATGCTCTGGTTTTCTTTATTTGGAGCAACATCCATTGGTTCTTGATCTTCTTGCACAGCTGACCTACTTTCAACTTCATCAGTGATTTTTGGAGAGTTTTGAGTAATTGTAATATCTGATTTAACTGCACTCAATGTCGACGATTCAGTGACGTTTCCACTAACATCTCGGTTGGTTGAACTTTCTCCAACACATTTCTGTTCAGAGTTTACACGATTTGGAGAGTTCTTTCCTTCCGATGTGGGCGATGCTGTTACGTTGGTCATAGCAGTAGGATCAGTTGTACTCGTTTCTGTACTTTCTTTAAAGTTTGCGCTATACAAACAAACAAACACCATCTCAGTTATCACAGACATAACTAGAATGTAGCAGTCTTTTCAAAATTAACATGTCAATTTAAATAAGTATTTAGTGGTCACAAATAATACAGAACGTCACGGCCTGAACCAAAGTCTCCCTCTACACTTGCTATTTCTAAGAACTGTACATTGTTTATAAAACAAGCATTTAATTGCTCTGTATTCTTTTAAGCAGGATTAGAGTAAATTAATCTGTAAGACCATTTTTTACTTTTTATTAGCTATATTTTTGCGTGCCAAAAATACCAAGTGTGGGGTACATGTATATCCAATTTGATTTTACTACTCATCAGGATCTCTAACAGCCTATCCTCAAATTGAAATTCTTTTAGGCAGGACTAGAGTAAATTAATCTACGAGACCTCGGGCGTGGTCAAATATATCAGTTGAAAGGGTTTGACCTTCTGAGTCCAAAACTGTAAACAGATCTCAAATTGGTCAAGAGATGGCGAAACTATGAGCTAAAAGTTTGTATTTGAAAAACTCAGAGCCATTCTACAAGCCCCTATGCCACGGCTAACAATTTCAGGGATCTAAACCTGTACTCTTACAACAAACTTTTCATCATAGCAGCTTCTATGAACCCTTTCCAGCAGTTCAACGTTCTTCCTAAGGTAAGAAACTCAAAGACTGAATACTCCAAATGAAGCCTAAATAAACTAAAAAACACATTATTTATCATCTGTATATTCTCTAATTTCTTGAATGATTGCAGGGTGGCTACATTCTTTCAAGAGTTCCTTGACTTTCCAGTCTTGCATGTGCATGCCCACAAAACATTGATACTTCAACTTTAACACTGCTTAACCTGGTTAAAAATGCTTCAAACTATGTTACCAGAGAACCAAAGATTTTCAAACGAGGACAACAAAATGTTACGTTTTTCTTTACAAACAAATACTGATCTGAATAAACAGAGTTGTTTAAACATTTGTTTAACAACAAATAAAATCTTGGAATGGTCTATTCTTTCATTGGGAGTGTGTCTGTGAGCCAGA